TCCCCTCACAGGAGCTAAGAATGGAGTTGTCTCCCAGGCACTATATGTGGCTCTCCTGCTGACCACCTGCAAAAGTTTGGGTTACTTGTGCTCTCCCTCCATGTCTTGACTTCTCTACCTGTGTAGTGACACCGGCAACACTGGCCTGGCCCAGAAGTCTCTAAGCTTAGTTCTGTCCTATTAAATTGAACAGTATCAGAGAGGGTCAGTCTTCAGCACAGCTATGGAAATATCTCACCAACGCTCACATTAACAGGGGTTAGAGGATGGCAGGATGATTATATTCACACTTGCTTTAATGAAACAGCAATATAAGGTTTATCATTTATTTGTGGGTGCCATTCAAGTCAGCAGGAATCAAGGCAGCCAGAACACCCAGAAGGGCAGCAGTGTCCACCTTCAGTGAAGGACTATGCGCAGTGAAGGTCTTTGGAGAAACACCACATGTCCACTACGCAGGATTCCCTCAGCTGCTCCAGTGAGCCAGCCAGCAAAAGGGCTTGCATCAGTTTGAGGAAATGCCAGGGAATGCTGCCAAGCTGCTGCCTTTGCCCTCTTCAAGATCTATTTATACTCCCTTTTGGGCATCAGAATGTCCTTGGGGTAAAGGAGACCTTTCTATCACAGTGGACACCATGACTTGATCTGCCTGGTTTTGAGCACTACTTTCTCTATTGCACTACATGCTATTTTTTGCCAAGTTGTTAGGAGCTCCACCATGTTTCTGGATACCATTTCTTTTCTAAGTCCTTTAGAAATCAGCACAAGAAAAATGTTTCCATTCCTCCCCAAGCTTTACTGATGTATTATTCTCTGCTAGCTTTGGCATTTATCCTCAGGAATGATTTGTAGACTCAGAACCTTTACTGAGCTTCCAGCAGATAATGTTGAAGACTATCTTGCAGAATTGTGTGGCCTGGTTTGCTGGAGCAGTCCATGCTAGTTACTTTCACCAAGATACAAAATCAGAGAATCCAGCTAAGTCCTGGGGCATTTCTACCTCCATGAGATGCTGCTGCTTTTAAACTCTCTGCTTCCCTCTGTTGAGATAATATAGCTGTGTCCTATCTATGCTGAGATCATCAGCTTAACCCCTGATCTGCATCAAAGAATTCCTGCTCATTTCTTTTGTGAGATGGAAACAAACGTGAATGTGGAGCTATGCTAAACATCTCTGTGTGAATTGGTTCCCTAGTGGAGAAATTCACATCAGTAAATCAGTTTAGAGAAGGAAAAAGAATAACAGCAGCATGTTAAAAAGGTCCTTTTATCAGTCTCAAAACTAGCATTGATAGCCCCATCGTTTGGCTCATTACCAGGCTTGTGACAGCTCATATTTGGTTTTTGTTGGCTAGATCATCTAACATTTCAGAAAACCAAAACCATTTCCCGTCTAGGATTCATCCCCTGGCCTGGCTGGAAACTTACAATAAATCTATACATTTTATCAGATTTTTTTTTTAGCCAAGTTTTCATGAGGAACTATTCTGAACCCTGGAGAGAAAATATAGAGTTGCTAAGCCCTGMAACACATCACTTTCACTTAGAATATCAGGTGTATTACCCAAAGGCTTGAATCCTCATAGACATAGCAACAAAACCATCTCTGTGAGAGATATGTTTCATGTATTTTAACAGCTTTAGTTGTATTATCAAAGTCAATTAAACCAAAAGAGTTAGGGAATGTTTAACCCTGTTGCACTAAGTAAATAGCCAGGAGCATTATTAATGAGAATTAAATGAGAGTCAGAATTTGAACTATTTAAAGACATACACAACCATTAAAAATCAAATTTAGTTGGATTATACAGAGGTTCTCTCTTCCTATAGCTTAGAAACCAAACATGAATTACCAGCATTTCCTTTAGTGAGATCTTTGGCAGACCTGCTTACAGGCTCTCTGTCAATCCTGGCTGGAGCAAGGTAGTCTAACCATCTTCATCTGGCTAGAGGTGAAGCTGTCCCAGAGCTGTGGTCATCACACTCCATCTCAGCACCTACAGACTCCAGGGAGGAGTCTTGAGGAGGAGACTGTGATCTCAAGAACTTCCCTAAACTCACAAGGTGAAGTAGGTTTGTCCCATGCAGCTTTGTCCCTCAGAGAGAATCAGCCAGGCCCCGTCTCACGTTGGGCTTGGAGCCATCTCACATATGGCTTTGAGGGCTACAATCCAGAGGAGGAAGTAGCAGATGCTCATTGGTTCTGCAGTTACCAGACTTAGGATCAGGAAGAGATGGTTTTCTGCTTGTTTGTTCTCTAGCTTGGAGAATTGTTGAGGATTTTGTTCTTTTTCAAGTGATTTAAACTATTTTAGGACATTAGGAAGCTTTTAATATATGATATGATGATATATTGATATATGATGAAGATGCTTCTTTGGTACATTCTTCCTGACTTTCTGCATGTCTCCAAAGATGGAGTGATGAAGCCCAGAGTAATCATTTGTAGCATGAAACTAGCTCAAAAGCATATAGTCAAAATCAGCACCTTCATCATCATACACCTAAACACACATCCAGAATAGGGAACAGCACTAATGGTTCTTATTTTACATTTACCAAGGTCTTTACTTGAATTTCTTCTGTACCTGAGCAGAACAAGGAGCCTGGGCTGTGTCTCACTTGTGGGTGATGCTGGATTATTTACTATTGAGTCGATTATACTTTCATACTGAGTGATTTTAACAATCAGCAAGTCTTCACATTCCCCAAATAGATGTCAAATTTCACCCCTCTCTCAGTTATCATCAACAACATCAGCATCTACAGCATCAGTAGCATCTATAGAGACTAACCTGTGCAATCAGACTCAGTTTTGAGCTTGTCACATAAGGCATGCCTGTGGCAGGATTTTTATTGCTGGTGACAGTGAGCAAGAGGAAGGAACAAGCTAGATTCTTTGATGAAACTGAAGGGTTGGCTGTTAGAAATAGCATCTCTTTGCAAATAGGACATATGGTTTGATTCCTGTGAGATACTGTGAGCCTAAACCTCTGAACATCCTTTTTTAACTAATTGCTTCAAACAAACTAACTATTGCTTCATTTCAACAACAAGGATAGTTGTAATCAAGGATATCACCATTCAAAAATCAAACAGCAGAGAATTGAAGACATTAGCTTTTTTTTAATGGAAATTCATCTTTCAAGTCACACACTAAAAGAAAAAAAAGGCAAACAGATATAAAATAGCAGAACAATACTGTGACAATTCCAGGACATTATATATTTCAGAGCACACACCATTAATCATTATCATAAGCAGACAGGTTGAGAGCTTCATAGTAGTTCATTTGGAATCTTCAGCCTTTTGCTGATCTTCTTCCCTTAGGTCTTCCTTAGATGTTACTGGTTAACATGGCATACTTCTGAGTTAGGCTATCTCAGCAAAAACGTTTCTGCTTGTTCTTCCCCCTCCCCATTCCACTTACTAATGTTGATGCTCCCTTCAGCTCAGCTGCTGACTTAAAAGATATAAAACAGATGAGAATCCATGTCCTGCTGGGAAAAAGTAAGCCTGACAAGAAATTCAGGGCAATGCCTTTATTTTCACATTAGCCAGATGTCAGGGGCCGGTGATGGGAACTTTTGTTGCTGCGTACCCAGTGTATTAAAAGAGCCCTGTAGCTCAGTTACTGGTACCAGCTCAGGTCAAATAGTGCAGAACAAGACCCCAGCTCCAGCAGTTTACCATCACTCTTTAGAGGCTCCTACAAGTGGGTTGGATTGTAATAGGCTTGATATTGCTATGAAGCAAGGGCTTCTCAGGGAGGCACCAACAGCGATACAAATTTCTTCCCTGTGAGTGGAGCTTAGATTCCTACATAGGGAGGTGGAGATTCCTTGGAAGGCAACTCTACAGCTTCTTCGTATGATGGCAGCACAGCCTAGAAAGAGAAGACCATTAGACTTGCTCTGGAATCACAAAAAGTGTTTCATTTGGATGAATCCAAATGGATTTGATGGATTTGAATGGATCTGGATTTGATCTTAGGCAAGTTTATCTTCCAAATACAAAACAGAGGAAGAAAACTAACTGCACAGGTTGTAAAACGACAGAGGGCAGGAATCCAGAAGAGTTAGAGACAAGCAGCACTTTATAACCACTTTACTAGTAGTTCCACCCACTTCTCCCAAAGCATTGATGCAATAAGTGGACCAAGGCTCTGTAATGTCCAGCCTTTCAGCCTTGTTGCATAAGCAAAGAGGCGAAGCTCTGCAGGAAGTCATTCCTGAGAGCCATCATGCAGGTTCAGCAGAGGCACACACTGCTGGCAAGACAATACTCATTGTATTTGCCAAGGTTCAGTAAGACAAATACCTTCACTTAGCTTTCCCTATTCTTCCTCTTTACTTCTCACCTGTCTTTACAGTATCTCCTATTTTTTGACAGTCTTAGAAATCCTTGCATTGTCTCAAAGCAGCTGGATGCTACTATTAAAGAGATCGTCAATAGTCTAGGTAAGGACATTGATATTCATGGCTAAGCAAATGGTTAAGATGAAGGGCAGTGCACTCAGCCTCTCAGACATTGATCCAGCAAAAAGTGAAGACTAGCAATTTTAAGCATGGGTAGTACAATTAGGCACGTAGACCAAAGTTCAAGTGAAATTAAAAGCGTATCTCTGGATCAGAGATTAAGACGGATATATCCTCATTTATCTGCTTTGCCTGAAGTCCATGTTTCAGGTTTCTTGATGATTCCTTTGTCTTTGAAAGGTTTTATATCTTTCAAAAATTAAAAAAAAAACTAATTGAAATCTGACCATTAGAACCTGCTGATGTAAAATTGAAGGTTTGAATTATCTCTCAGGCTGCCAAAGAGACAAGATTAAGAACCATCATGCATCTCCCTAGTCCAAACCATGCCTTTTCATTATGGAAAGTAGAACCTTTACTCACCTTCTCAATTGTTTGTGAGTCAACTTTCACCTCCCCTCTCTTGCTGGCTTTAATGTACTTAAAGCAACCGAGGACACATTTGAACATATAGGCCTGAGAAAGAGAGAGAAGTCCACCAATGCAGATCAACAACAGCATTTCCCCTTTTGCCAACAGCTGACCACTGCTCTACTGTCACCCTAGAAGTGAAAGCCTTACAGAACACTAGGTATTGCACGTCATGGCCTCAGATCAGTCTGAACTCTTTGCTAGAAAGCTGTCAACTGCACTTGTTCGGAGCAGTGCAGAGGTGTGAGGAGTCAATTAATAACATTATATACAAAGGACATGCTCAAGATCCCCAAGAGCTCAAGGTCATCAGAAAGGAAAGGGAAACATGTTTTATATCCATATTATTTTTCTGAGCAAGACATAAAGTTCATGTGCTTCAGAATAAAACCCTGGGGCTTCACATCCCAGAAACACCCAGACCTACTGGTGAACAAGGACTGACCTGAAAGGTCAGCTCATTCAAGAAGAGCAACCCTTCCTTGCACCTCTGAGTTGTAAGATAAAATAAAGGGTTTTTTTTTTTTTTTTTTTTTTTTTGAGAAAAATGGTTCAATTGACAGATTGAGGCACAAGAAAATAAGCAAGGTCTGTGAAACATACCACATTAAATAAATATTTTCCCTACTAYGTGCAGTGWGGCAAAGTCRTGTGYCTCTTATTTTTTTTGGCATAAGACTRYACTTTAAAARCAGTWGGCATTTTCAAAAAAACACATGGAGTTATATGCCCCAAGAACAAGATATCTAGCTTAGGACTTGCTGAAGCAAGGAGAACTGTTTCTCTTGACACAAAGCCAAGACAAAGAACAAGGAATGAGCTTTTTGTGTTGAAGGAATCCATCTCACATGGACCTCCAAAGACAAGGAAGTAAATCCAAATGTAGACAACTTTTAAGTAATATTGTAAAAGCCTTCCTCTCCCTAAAACCTGCCCATATAGAGTGCAAATATGCACAACACAGAAACCACCATTTAAACTGAACCAAAACCACTCATCTTCTGAAGAAGCTCCAGTAAATGAAAATAAAGAAGTAAGAATTCTCCTCCCCCTTTTTAAACAACTTTGATTTCAGAGCAGTTTGCTTCAGTGCCAATCCACCATCTACACTGAAATCAATGAAGGAGTTGACTGAAAGAGTTCCCAATGAAGGGAACAAGCATTTGTGCCAGCTCCCCCAGAAATACATTAGGAACTGCCTTCATTTCCCAGAGATGCTTTGTTCCTCTTGATTTCTGCATTCTCATCCACCGTGGTAGTGGAAGAAATGTTCATTTATATGAGAAAAAGGTTTCTATGAGCAAAGAGAGGGAGGAGTGACTCAGTCCTCTGAGCACTGTTGAAGAAATACTTCCTGCTCAGGGGGTTAGCAAGTCCTTGCAGGTCCCACAGAAGAGTCACAGGCAGAGACAGGTAGGAAAGCAGGTATCCTGACTTTTCCATCCGACAGATCCACCTTCTAGCCAGCTGACTTACTCTGTAGAGTGGGATGCACACTATTTGGGGGAAAAAGTTGCCAGCTGGGGGGCAAACAGATGACAGCAGACATACAAAAACAACATATCAATGGAAGGGCAATAAAAGCTTGTGAAGGGCCATGAAGCAAGGCATTTTATGGAAAAAGATCCTGGATTCATCAAGCATATATAGATGCCATCCCTGGTTGTGGAGGAGACAGGGAGGTGGGCCCTAAATGGGCCAAATGGCCTTTTAATTTCTAAAATATTGCATGTTGTCATGTTCCTCATCAAAACTTAATCATTTGTCACTTAATCACAAGTCTCTCATAAAAAATGTTTTGGTTACACATGGGAAAGGAGTGAAGCGATTGTCACTGTGTTCAAAGGATGGAGTTCTTGGTAACTTCTTGTAGCGGAAGAAGGGGAATTTTAAGGACTTTAGTAGACCAAGGAATATTTGTGCGTGTCCAGTCTCCTCACAGACACCAACACAAACAGCCACATTAAGTTAGATAGACTTGTAGCTTGTTCTGGGTAAAATTGCAGCCAAGCACTGTTTGCTATGTCAGTGAGATTTCTGCTGAAGACTCAGAGTGCTACGCCAGTCAGGTGTCAGTGTTATCTCTAGAGCGTATGGCCTGCAGTTCTTGCAAATACTAAAAGATATACTGAAGTGATGTCTGAAGTGCAATCAAATAAGACATTATGCTCGATGATGCCTTGTCTGACCACTCGGAAAGCATGTGGATTTAAAAAAAAATACTTTCCAGCTAATAAGTAGCATTTTTCACTGTGACAGAGTCTACTCAAGTACTTGGAGAGGTCTACTGTTCTTAGCTGGTCTGAAACCCCTCAGTGAAAACCTGTTCTCCAGTCCATTGAAGCTGGAAGAATAGAAGTCTTTTCATGGTGAAGTTTCCTAGGAGGTAAGCAGGATTTAACAGCTCACAGGTTTTAATTAAGTTTTGGGATATCAGTGTGCATAACTCCATTCACATTAGTGCAGGTACGGCAGTTTACCCATGTGGAAGATGTAACCTGCTGCTTAATGATCTTATTTGTTTTGGCATACAACAGCAGAATCCTGTCCTGTATTTGTTTCCAAACTTCTTATCTTTCTAGAAGTGAATGAGTAGGAATTGTCTATAAATATGAGAGAGGCTTTGCTTTTATATCTCACACTTGCAGAAAGACATAAACAACTCAAATATCAAACCTACCTCAGACACTGATGCTATTAAGCACAAGAGAAGGCCAACAAGGCTTTCCAAAAAGCCCTAGCAGGTTAGAGAGTGAAGAACTGATTCCTTCTATTCCCCAGATAAGTAAGCTGTATTACAGCCTTCATGACTCAGCAGACGCTGCAGGCATTTACCTTGAGGAAGAGGACAGCAATGAATGCAATGGTGAAGGTGACCATTATTTTGGCATATTCTTCTTTTGGCAACTTCTGAAGGGTTGGCAAGAAGACCTGTGAAAAGAGGAGAGGGTCTCCATCACAAACTCTTATTCCTCTACAGTGTCACTCAGAGTTGTGGATATCACCACAAGTTTCTCAGCCTGACTTTCCAGAAGATAGGAAAAGCCCACTTTCTTTTTCCTTCTTGAGAAGGGCAGATCTCCAGCTGCTCAGAGGTATTGCTACTGTTTACACTTCTTTGTTAAAAATTTTCAGAAGAATATTCAAATGAGAATCAAGGAAGTATGACTATTTAATAAAGATGAAACTCTGATCTGTTTTCTGTGTACACAGGGAGGCTGTATCCAAATCACTCTGCCCTGCAATTTGCATCCTCAAGACTCTTACAGGAAAAATAGGGTGTACTTTTAAGGAACAATTGCATAAGCAAACTGTCAGTCAAGAACACTGTGTTTTTGGGAACATATGGCAAAATCCTATTTTGTCACCAAACAGGAATTCTGGATATACTGTGAAGAAAGCTTGCTTTGTCATAAGAACTGCTGAAATAAACTTCCAAGTGGTTAACAGCATGACAGAGATCATCTAGGCTTGCTCACTACCTACCGCATTCTCCGAAGACTTGAGGCTGAGATAGGTTGGGACCTCCATGTATGAGCTACACAGAGTGAGGATACTCAGACTGAAATCCAGTAGCTGCAGAGCCAAGAAAGGGATCTTTGAATGTCCCTGCTGCACAGGCGAGAAGAGGAAAATGTTTCCTTTAGGGTTATAAGATTATACGACATCTATAGAGTTGCTCTATTTACACAGGTTCTGTGTTTTATTCTCATTTACAGCCTAATATAAGTCACTTATGCTAGCTGAAACGTTGACTCTGGAGAGCATGGTGGTATTCATAGCTTATCTCCAACCATTTCCAGCATTGGCACACTCAGAACAACTTCCCCAAAGCCCTGAGAAACAACATAAAATTAATAAACAGGAACATTCCAAAATGTGGGAAACCAACTTATGTTGCAGCTATCACTGTTTCTCCTTGGGCACACTCAAATCCACCAAGGCTGTGTCCTGTTTCCAACAATAGGCAGTGTAGGAACTACATAGTCATGAAGAATTGTGACATCAAATAACAACAATTATTAATTTTGCATCAATCTCCATCTCATACTGCCCTTCCCCATATCACCACCATCCCAGAAGGAAGCCGTTACCTACCACGTGGCTTAGAGATGACAAAGAAATGATTGCTGGGACTTGTATGTAGGAGCTGAACATTGTTAGGAGGCTGAGGAGAAAGTCCATGATTTGTAGAGCAAGGAATGGAATCAGGAGACGTTCTCTCCTCTGAAAAAGAGGTAAAAGAGTGCCAGTCATTTCTATTCTAAGCAAAATAATGTGAGTAGGTATCAGTATTTTAAAGGCCATGTAATAAGATACTTTAGGAACATATCCTTTCCTGAAATCTCTGCACCTAATTCCATATACAGTTGCTTCAGAAAGTGAAAGACATCAAAATTCATTTTCATTTTTTCTTCCTCATGGAGTTTTCCTAAGTGGCATTGACACTTCATCACAGAACTGTTGTTTAGCTACCCCAAAAGTTTTGCTACAAGTAAAGATGTGTTCCCAGACCAAAACAGGGCCAATGGAAATCTAATCCCCACTGTTGTAGGAGAGTTATAGTTTAACTCCAGAGTCTGACTTGGAGCATGGGGAATGAGGCAATGCCACAGCATTTCTAAATCATAACATTCCTCAACACAAAAAGTAGTTAGGATTGAAATATCATCCAGATCTGGTAATCTTGGCAGTTAGTAGCTTTGCAGATGATCTAACAATCCACATTTTCCTTTTATAAAAGAATTGAGACATTCGTCTACCATTATGATCATCACATACTTCATACTTCAATGTTTTCACTAATTGTTCTTCTGGTGCCCTCCTCTACTACCTCCAAGTTCAGAGAGGCCCCAGAAAGCTGCTAGATGTTATTTGTGGAGGGCATACCTTCACCACACCAAGGAGGAGGTTGAAGCTGATCACAAACAGCATGATGATCAACAGGAAACTGGTGACGACATCAGCTAAAAGTAAAAGAAATAAGATATTAGGGTGTAACTTTCAGTAATGTGGTAATTAATTCAGGCACACCTCTAGGTGACATTTAAAGCACAATAATCTGTTATAGAAAGAATAGATGGAAGTGGGAAAACCCTGCAGCTGGCAAGTTGGAAATTGCTGCTTTCTCTTTTTACTGCCACTTTTTCATCTCTGTTTGAAGTTTGTTTCTTTAGCAACAGAACACTAGGCTGCACAAGCTGTCTGCTCAGGCAGATGGGAGCCAAAACCTTTATTGCCTGGATCAAAATTCTATCTCGAACTACAGCATGGAGGTAAAATGAAATAGTAGGAAGGAAGAGTGATTTTAGGTAATGATTGATAGGTCTGATTTGGAAATTACTTTGTGTGCTCAAGGATAGATAAGTTAAAAACAGTCAGAACTGAGGAGAAGTCTGGAAGATACTCAATCAGCATGTGCAGGTTTGAACCACCTACCTAGTATGGACTTCAGAATTTCAGGGTGAAACATCTCATCACCAGTCTCTGTAATGTATGATGTGCCTTATTAAAAATAAATCTATGTGTGAGGAGAACAGCATAAGACACTTCTTAGGCTGCTAGATAATCTTTGTTAACTGCTTTGGATCCAGGAAGACGATTTCTATGTGCATAGCTGCCTACAGACCAGTTCTCAGGAGGCAATTTTCTTTCTTCTTAGTGCAGCCTGCCCTGACAAGGTCCACTGAAGCCTTCTTTACACAGGATACACACTTGCGCCTTATAATGGTCTGGCTAGTGTGAAATTTTTTCATAAARTTATTTTGATTCTTGCTGGGAGGAAGCAGATCTCTCTAAAAGCAGAACACTGCTAGGTTCCTTATCCACCTCCACATAATGTCCAGTCTTTCAGMGTGCCTCTTCCAACTCACTCTCACCCTTTCATTCTTTGTGCTTTTTATTTGGCTTAAATAGCAGCTGCCTGTTTGAGGTCTCTAATTTCCAAATGCTAGAAGAAAGGGTTTAAATCCAGTAGAAAAGATTTACTAGTTTTATCTTCTTTAAAGCAGCCAAAAAATTCTCTTAGCCTCAGGAAGATCTGATTGTCTGTTAGCATCCTCTCTACTATKCTTTTATTAAATAAATCCAGTGTCTAACKAYATCTCTTCTAGTACCCCTTTCAGCTCTTCCTCCTACTTTAATAAAGAATTCTAGAAATCTTGCTTTAGCAAGCCTGTTGGATTCACAAAAGATTCCAGCTGCAATGAAAGCCTCCACTGCTCCCCTTTACTCCTTCTCCACTTCTCCCATGAAGATTGCACTCCATCTTCCCCAGCTTTGCCTTTTGCCTATTCTTGGTACCGTGTAACACCCTTGGTTAGGGGGAAAAGGAGCTTATTTCAGAGTTATTGGACACACCATGCTGTYATTAACCAGATAATGCCAACACTGCCATTCACAACAGAAAAATGAGCCAGAGTGGTTCCAATTATGGTTGTCCCAAGCTGAGAGAGAGCAATAGCAGAGAAGGGCAGACCTCCACCCAGGGCTGCATACAGCGTGTGGCAGGACATCAGTGCCCATTAGATGCAGCAGCTGCAACATATGCAAACTGTCAAGCACTATATCCAGTTTCGGCTGAGGTGAGTATGGATTAATGCCAGCAAAAGAAAGGACTCAGAAATATGACCAAAACCAAGAAATGGAGCTACTGAGAAGCTCTGGAGACCTTCTAGGGCTGTAAAGGACTTGCCACCCAGGCTGAGCCTCAGTGGACAATGAAGGCAGGTGGCAGCAGCAAGGTGGGGAATTTTACATCAGTAAAAGATAAAAGATAAAAGGTGTCCAACAAATCCTTAATCTGTATCAGGAAAAAAGGAGCTCTTACAGCACAGAAACAGGAAATGCCTTTTGCTTATAGTTTGAGAAACTAAAAAAAAATCAGAATTTGTTTACCCCAAGGTGATGAAAACTGAAATACAGAAGACGAGGAGGAAGTCATGGAAAACTGCATAGAAAGCAAGAAGCCAAATCCACAAAGCCCAAATCAAAAGAGACAGGAAAGATGCTGCTGCAGAAGAGACTGCTTGCAACTTTGAAGCTCTTGACAGTCGAAGGAAAAACCTAAGCAACAAGGCAGAAAACCAAACTGGCCTCTCACAAATGGGAGGATAGAGACAAGGCCGTGATTCAGTGCACAGAGRATTAAAGAGTCTTGAACCATGAGGTTAGCATGAGGCCAGCATAAAAATGAAGAGGGAAAAAAAAGGCTTAAAAACAACAGAGACAGACATAAAAAGGAGACCCTATCCTGACAGACCTACTCTCATTAAAATCAAAAATACTGCTGTGATGATACTGAGGAAAGCAAAGTTTTGGAGCTAGATTGGTACGTTGTTCTAACAAAAACCTGGGAAAACTGCAGCCAGCATTCTCCAAAGCAATCACCAAGCAAGTCTATACTATGCACTGAACTGAGCTACAGCTGCAGAGGGGGCCATTTAGACCATGACTCATTGAAATAACCTTCAAACCCACCCAGACTGAGCTGCTTCTGAAATAATGCTGTAGGTGAAAGGTGTAAACTATAACATGAAACATTTGCTTGGTGCCTTCTTAGGAAAATTCATCCAAATTTCCATTTCTTACTCATGATTGATGCTTAATCCCTTTTGAAATAGCCTAAGTGAATCTTAGCCATACTTAATAAAACCCAACCGGGCTCATTTGAAAAATGTGAATCCAGCTGTTAGTAGTAACTTCACTCAGACAACAAACACCTCTGTTTTAGTGCTTTTCACTATGTCTGACTGCTCTCCTGGAGACAGTGAGTCTGGCTGTTCAGGAACCTGATGTACTTGTTTCCCTATTGCTCCATGCAGAGGGTTTCACCCCCACACAACCTAGGGGAGTGAGGAAGGACACACTGGATGAGCCGGCAAGTCCTTGCTGCTATAGGTTGTATTTCTTTCTGGGAAATCCTTGCAACATAGGGCGTGAAAGTCTCATTTTCAGCTTTCTGAGCATAGCAGAGAAAGGTTATCTTAGCTTAAAGATTCACACTTGAGTGACTAAGAAGTTCTCTGCATTTGTTGCTTTCAACCAGTTTCATGCAAAATTAGCATTTTGACATGACATACATGACAAAGTAATATTTGGGGTTTGAGAACTACAGGATGTGGGTTGGTACAGCCCACGGAAGTGCCTTTAGCTGTTAGGTATAAGATCCCTACAAGGTGTGGTGGATGATGCAGAGAGTCAAGGGCATGGATGCATGGCATAAAGGGCAATGAGATGGTGACAGCCTTGGGTAAACCACCCAGCTGTGGAGTGTAGTGCGGATCTATGACTTTGCACCATTCTGTGACTCAGTTCATTGTCCAGAGTAGCTCTATGAAAGAACTGTTTTTTTCAGCTCAATATTTTCCTATAAAATAACTAGTGTGAGAAGAGGCCCAAGAGAATGTGTAAGTGATCTACACATGGGGAAAAGAAAGAGAAAGAGAAAATAGAATTGACTGCAAAGAMTATTGCCGAGAGAAAAGCAAGGCTGGAGTAGTAGTTGA